CTTGGGCAGCTCTATCCCATGCATTCCAACCTCCTACTAGTTCAGTTGAGACTTTGGTCTCAGTCTTCAGCTTCTCACTGTTCCTGTCCCGAGACCCCCAGGCATGGCTGTCCTTATGGCACCACCAAAACCAGTTTCACTGGGGACACCACATCAGCTATCAGTCCTGCAGACATAGTGAGCAGAGCCCAGCAGCCCAGCAGTCTGCCCTACTTACTTGGTTTTTACATTTGTTTCTCTGCCCTGAGCCATCTTGTAAAGCCAAGCATTTCTGTCTTGTCAGAGAACAGAAATGTCTTGCATACAAAACAAAAAAGACTCAGTGGAATCCATTATGTTACTAAATAGGACTTGCCTGTCCTCTCCAGTCTAGAGGTTGGGGCTCCCAGGAGGTCTGTTCATTTACTGTGTTTTCTCATCGCATGCAGTGCACTTGCTAGGATTCTTTGCACCCTGAGTGCAAAGCGGGTGGAATGGTATCCACCATGGATGTCACCAAATTTAGAATAAAACATACACATCTGCTTACATAACAAATTGAATGGGCTTGGTTCACAGAACTAGACATTTGATCTGTGGCTCAGCTTGGGTGTGGGACATACCAAAGCAGCTATGAGTACCTCTCCCTTCTAGTAGCTGGTTAGTTCTGGTACTAATTTGAGGGTTGTGTGTACCTTGAGCAGGCGCTGATTGGAAGTAGCTCTGAAAAAGACACACTGGCAGTTGAGGATAAGTAGGAAGCAGCAGCCAAGACTGGATGTCAGGAGAGGCCAAGGGTGGATGTCATAAAAACCCTGTGCCGTTTGGAGCGTTTTCATCCATGGGAATTCTTCAGTAGTTGGCTCATGAAATGTTGCAGCTGTCTTGCAAATGTTGGCGAGAGCAGCGTGGCCATGTGAGGTGGCCAGTCAATGGCTGTTGGTGGGGAACTCCATGTCTCTTTCTAGCTGGGCAGAGGAGGCTTTCAGCAGATACCACTGAAGCTTGGTTTGGTAGCTTACACAGAGAAAACTTGAAAATCTGTCCCTTCTGCTTTGTTCTGCTTTCATGCTGATCTGCTGTCCTCACTGTAAAAGGATGGTAAGTCAGCAGCCTGCATATCCTGGAAGCTGTAGGGAACCACTCTGCAAACACATTTTTTGCTCCAAGAAAAGCCCAGCTCACTCTATGCATGCATTGTGCCACAGACCCCAGGGTGTCTGAAAGCCAGATAACCATGGATTCCAAGGCATTCCTCTCACATTAAAAAAAAAAAAAAATTAAAATGTTTTTGCCCAGTAGGGAGGGAAATTTTAATCTTCCCCAACAGATCAGCTTTTACAGGAGGCTATTTTAAGTGTTGATTCTGTAACACCGAAGTTATTGGACAAATGAAGAACATGGCATATGCTGTAGCTCGGAGCAATTCATTCCTCAGGTGCTAAAAGCTTTAAATACTTCCTTTGGGCATGAAATAGATCTGCTGCCAAAGAAGCCAGCATTCCTGACAGTGCCTGTCCCACAGACTCCCACAGGAGAAAGTCTGCAGAGCTGAACCAGTCTGACCCCAGGAAATCCTTCCCACATCTCTCATTCTTGCTTTGTTTCTCCTTTAATTTTCAGAATTTGCTGAAAGGCCGGTTTGATGTTTGGTTATCTTCCTTTTCATGCACTTTCTTGGTCTTCCTTTCTTATATTAATACCACATTAAAGCTGGGATGTGAACCATGCAAGTCAGGAAGTCCAAGATGCTCTTTCAGAAACACTCAGTCAACATTGTTAATGATTTTTAAAAACTTTTCTTGCCTTTGCTAATAACACAAATGGCTGATTTCAGACTGGCGCTAAACACATTTATGCAGGCAGCAGGTAATATCTCTCTGAAGAATCCTAACACTTGTGAGCATATCTTTGCCCATTTTAACTCAAAAATCATACAGAGATCTCCAGTTAAAGTATCAACAACTTTGTCTCCTTCCCTTTCTTTTTTACACCACTACAGTAGCAGTGCTATCATTCTTCACAACAATGATTTAAGGGCTTTTCAGTGCATTCTTGGTGTTGGTTTGGTTTCCAAAGTACATTAGCTGTTTTTTCATGGTCAGAAGGAATGAATATTGTGTAACAGGCTCTGAATTTGCTCCATTCATGCTTGGTTTGGGGATTTTTTTACACCATCTTATTAAACAGGAATAGTAAAATTTGGACATTCTGGGTTCAGTTCAGGGTTTGCAGGAATGTCAAAGCTTTTTATTCAGCTTACTCACATTTGAGTTCACCACTGGCCTGTCGGTCCCCATTTCTGCCTCCATAAGAACACACTCAGCCACTCGTACACCTGTCCGCACGTCCAAAGCTGTTAATGTCTCCTCAAATTTAAATCAGTAATTTATCCTCCTTCCTCGAAAATTCATTAACAGGGTAATGTTAAGCGCTCCTTCTCTGTGTTGCTGGCTCCCAGCTGATGCTGTCCTCGCCGGTGCTAGCCTAGAATCAGTATTAATTATACAAATGCAAATAAATCCATTTTGATCCGTCAGACTTTCCCTCGCACCCTTTGTGCAAACACTTGTTTATGAATCAATGGCCTTAACTCCACGTCTCCAGAAAGTTGTGAGGAAAATTGTATTTTGACCCCACTTTGACCATATGCTCCATCTGGTTAAAAGCTGATGCCAAGAATTTTTTCTACAGGCCCGACACTTGTTACTTGAGGAACTGAAGGAATAATTAACGCAGCTCTCTATAAAGCCAGCTTGCGACCATTCGTATTCATCAGAATGTATATTCACCCCTTTGTTTTTCTGAGTATTATTAATATGAAACAGCAAGGAGCGCGAGAGTGGGAACCGGGGAGAGTTCACTGAGGGCCCACAGAGAATCTGTGCTCCAGAAAAAAAACCCAGAGTTACGATCAGGCGAGCTCAGAGGAGGGGCTGTGAATCCGTCTGCCTGTGGCCCATCTACACAGCGAGGTCTCAGGTAGAAGAAGGATCTTCGGTCCTACGAGCCGCAGCGCAGCCGTTCCGGGGCTCCGCCGGCCCCGGGCCCGCCTCCCCGGGCCCGCCCCGCAGGACAGCTCCCGGCTTCC